TTGCCATCTTTCGAAAGTTATTTTATCCAACAGGTTGATTATTTGAACCATTGCACAGTTTGAAGAAATGCAATGCATTTCGGGGGCATTTCTTGCATACAAGGGAAACGCACCACACACTCAATTCTACGTCCTACCATGTGATTTTTCAAACGGAGATTGAATTTAACTTGAAATTAGCGCTACTTACATGCAACGTTTCGCTGTTTTTACATGCTTGCATGATCCGGCCTTTAAGCTGTAATTTGATCCGCCCTATCAGGTGCAATGAAGCAAAGAGAAGGAGATGTCAATCAAACCGAGTGTACACACAGTTCTGTGAAGAGGTTTAATCAGGACCAATAAACAAAAACACTTGTGTGGATGACCATAGACGGCCCTTATTTACTAACTTTTGTGAACCCCTTAAAATGAATTTTATTCGCAGTGGTATACGTACTGATTGCCGTAACTGCTGCAGAAGTGTTGCCCCGTGTTTCTTGGTGACGTATGCGTGTTCATTTTAGCCACTTCATGGGGGTCAGCCGGGCAGAGCAAGGTGTGTTTTTAGTCTGTAACGATGCTAGACATCTGCAGACGTTTGTGTGGTGTGTGTGTGTGTGTGTGTGTGTGTGTGTGTGTGTGTAGTTCTGAATAAGAACATTCAATCTGCAGTGTAGCTATTTGGGCTAATCGTTTTTTGTTCCAGAGCATAAATGTGATGCAGCTCCGTGTTCGCATGCATTCATTTGAAAAATAGGCCAGTTCCCATGAGGATCTCTATCTCTCTGTCTCCGCAGACACATCTTTTCCTGTCTGTCCATTTGTTCTCGTTTTCACACCCGCATCCCTCCTCCTCTATATTCTCCGAACCATTCCTTCCTCCTCTCACCTTTCCATCCTTTTTTCTCACTCACTTCCTGCTCTCTTCCCCCTCTCCCTGCCTCCTTCTGTTTCTCCTCTCTCACACCTTAGTCTCTTACTCAGTGAGTCGGTCACTCGCTCGTTCATTCGCACCCACTCGATCGCTTGCCCACTAACGGACACACTTACACTTGTTTGCTCGCTCAATCTCCCTCTCTCGCTCTCTCTTTGTTGCCTTACCGCGTGGATCCTTCCCTCTAAATCTATACTATTAAGTTTCATAATGAGATCAGCGCTCCCGTCAATAGGTCGCACTCTGTTTGAGCGTTCTGTCTTCTAGACGAGGGAAGCCTTCCCATTAGTTCTCCTTCACACTCTCTCACGTATAGGTTTGTCATCGCTCATCATCAACGTCTCCAGCAGCGTCATGTCCTTCTCTGTCAATCAGTACCGGATAATTTAGCATGTTTTGGGACACGGATCACAGATAATTCAGCAAGGCCTTTTTTAATAAAGACTTATTGTTTACCTTCCAGGTTTGATTACCTGACGACGTAGCAATAATACCTGAACAAAAGGCTTTATGACATTCCAATAATAACTGATATGAGCTTTGTCTGGTCTGCTAAAGGTAAAGTTACATTTAAGCTAAACCTGAGGTTTGACTTCTTGCAGACGGACCTCTGATATCAAAGTCGCACACTTTCTACAGCCTACAGCCTCGGCTATACTTTCTGCAAGGATGTTCGCATGGACATTTTGGGATCTTTTCTCCTCGCCACAAACCCACATTGTCATAGCTCCTCAAAGTTCTCCATTTTTTCCTGTCGGCACAAAACTTAAAGCAGAAGCAAACCCTTTTCATATTGCTCTGGAATAAACTGAAAACAGTCTGAACGTTGGCAAATCAGACTCGAAACGTGGGAAAACCTTGCAAATGGTTTGCAGAAATGTGTGAGTTGTAGCTAAAAATAAATATGCTACGCCACCAGTGTGGGCCCTTTAGGACCGCATGCCGCGAACTCCCAAGAGTCAGCGGATCCAGTAATGTGTCAGTAAATGTCAACCATGAGTCAGCGGCATCCTCTCATCGCCACCCATGTGAAATGGGCGAAGAACAGCGGGGACACTGAGAACGCGATCAAATGCAAGAGGGAGAGGGAGTCGAGCGGAAATATTGACCATTATCTACGTCAATTAGCTCATTGGGGAAACAGCAGGCAGGCCTGTATTCAGTGGAAGTTGACAGTAGAAAGAAAATTGAATGACTTCTCTTAAAAGGAACTGCAATATATTTGCAGAGTCTGGTTTCAGGGATTGGATTTATTCCACTTTTAGCTGGCGATAGATATAAATTACTACCTGACAAGTTGGTGACATGCGATACAAGAACTAAATACATAAACGTAGCCGTGAAATGTGTAGTGTCTCTCTCTCTCTCTCTCTCTCCCGCTGCATCTGTCTGTCTCCCCGGCTGACGTTCACGTTGTCACTCTCCATTAATGTGCTGAATGGGAGGTTTGGACAGGAAGCGTGACAGGAGTGTGGATCCATGTTTCCATTTTCAGATCTGGGGTCAGGGCCAGATCACACCTTCCCGTGTTGGCTTCGCGCTGCCGCTCCGCAGGGTGTCTTATGTAAAAAAGACGGTGAGTGGGTGTTTGTGCGTGTGGGTGTTTGTGGGACAGAGAAAGGTGACATCTCCGTTGCTCAGTGTGTGTGTGAGTGTGAAACTCCCCTCAACCTCTCTTAATGCTTTTTATCTAAACAGAGGAGGACAACAACTGAATGGAGGTCAAACTAAAATGACTTCAATACAGCCTGATGATCATGGATCATTACCAGCGCACTGTGGTTTGGTCTTTGAGCACCTGGATCTTGATGGATTTAGTGTTGGACCATTTCCTAAATATTATGGGTTGATCTCTTTAGTTTAAGCTCAGAATTTAAAGCCACAGAGTTGCTGCATCATATTAGCATTTTCTTCATTTTCCTTCACTCGGTGCAGTTTATGAAATCACTGCAGGCTCCCAGAGGTCCAGGTAATTGGACCAAATCCAATGCTGACTCACCTCTGACACCCCCCCTCAGACTCCCTCTTATTAAAGCCAGTTTCCATCAATTGTTACTGTTTAATAACCTTACATTTTCTCCCACTCTCAGTAGTTATGAATTATTATGATTTTTTTATTATTCTTTTATTGAAGTCTGCTCTGAGTCTTTGAAGATCAAAAATGAAGACTAAGAATATATATTTTTGGACATTATATCAGACAACCTCAGAGGTACTTTTCATCCTGTTTGACTGCCTCGGAGCGTTTCCTGTCACTCTGCCAGTAGTGGGTGTTTCAGACTGAGAGGTGTCGCTTTCTATCAAGGGTGACAGTTTGAATCTGGCCCATTTAGGCTTGCAGCACTGCAAAAAACAAAACAATCATAAAGCTCAAGAATGTTATCAATATCATGGAGAAAAATACCCCCAAAAAAACAAACTAGCTTTGACTCATTGCCAGTTTATGTCGCCTCAATTAAAATGCATTTCCAACATGAAACACACTTCACTGTCTGTCACATTCCATTCCCAAATAAATAAGTAATTAAAGTACAAATTATTCAGCAAGGAAAATACAAACAACACAGACTCCCAGAAATGAACAATATGCCATCTTGGAGAATTTTAACGACATGCCAAAATAAATACCGAGCGCTGTCTTTAGCACAATGTTCTGTGTGTGTACCCATTAAAATGATGCATTCTCATCGGGGGGGGGGGGGGGGGGGGATCTTCCTGAGACTACTGAGCAGCAGCACTTCTTTATGCATTGATCTCTTGTACCAAAATATCAGTTTGCCTCTGACAGTTTGTCCCTCGACGCTGTGCGATGACGAGCAACAAAACAAAAAAAATGAGGCAAAACCTGATGCTCTCCGAAGACCTGCGAGGAGACACGAGGAATCAGAACGGACGCTGCATAAATCTTTTTCAAGGCCGCCTTTTGTCCTGCTAACAGCAAACAATTTAACATTTTTCTCAGGGGTGCACAGGATGAATATACACAGTTATCAGGAATTAGACAGGCACCCCTCGAGTGTCTGTTGGGGGGCTTCTAAAGTCATATCTGAGATGCTTTTAACACAAGAAGTTCTTTTTTGTTTTTGTAGGCTTTTACTCACAGTATTGAACTGTGTGTGTGTGTGTGTGTGTGTGTGTGTGTGTGTGTGTGTGTGTGT